CTTCGTCATCACCACTACCACCATCACCATCATCTTCGTCATCACCACCACCACCATTATCATCACCATCGCCACCATCAGTACTACCACCATCACCATCATCTTCGTCATCACCACCACCATCATCATCACCATCACCACCATCAGTACTACCACCATCACCATCATCTTCATCACCACCACCACCACCATCATCACCATCACCACCATAAGTACTACCACCATCACCATCATCTTCGTCATCACCACCACCATCAGTACTACCACCATCACCATCATCTTCGTCATCACCACCACCACCATTATCAACACCATCACCACCACTGCCATTGCTGCTGCCCCCACCTGCACCATCCACTCACCATCATCACCAGCCTCTAGTCACTTTCTCCTCTAAATGTATAAAGACAATATTTTATATTTCTGGTGCATTTTATAAAGTGTTTTCCTATCCTAAGTTTTACTTATTCTTTATAGATAAGACAACCAAGGCTCAGAGACGGGTAGTGATTTGCCCAAAGTCACACGAAGAGTGGGTTGCTTGAGCCAGAAGCTTAAGTTCAACCTCAGGACTCTGCTGCCAAGGCTATTTCTGCCACGTGTTGCTGCCCATTCCACAGCCATGATACTCAACACTCACTAAATAAGGGTCCCTGGAATGCTGGAACTCAAAGTGATCTTAGCACACATTCTTTCCAAATCCTTCAAGGACAAGACCAGAGAGGGCAAGGGACGAGTGAAAAGTCACAGACCAGGTTCCTGATGCAGAATCAGGGCTGGGGCCCCTCCTGCTAAATTCCCCTTGGCCCACTTCCCCGCCGCTGAGTCAAGCCTGGGGGGAAGCCTCCTGGCTGGCTCAGCGCCCTTGTATTTATTCTTCTTTGGTTTGGTGAGTTCATTCTGTTGCAGCTGTTCAGGGGGATTGGCACTTCAGTGCTATTTTTAGGAAACAAATATTTTCCCACAACCGTAGTTTGTTGCAGTCTCATTTGGATCTGTCCTAGGTGAGTCATGTAAACACTTCACAGGGAAAAAACAGCATCAAGAGCAGGCCTGATTCAAACTGAATCAAACTGGGTTGCCTTTGCCTAGGTAAGGACATCAACCTCTCTGCTTGAGGGATGAACAGCGAAATGGACAGCCCAGGGAGCCTGGGCTGGCAGCAGAGGCACGAATTCTCTGGTTGGCTCAAGGTGGATGCCAGCAGGCTTGTGCATTGGGGCAGCCTGCCTGCCAGGCCACCTAATCCACGAGTCCCAGGCAGTTCCGCCAAACTGACCCAGCACTGCTGGCTCACACAAGCCCTGCTCACCTGTGACTACCACTGCCCCCACTCCCAAGTCAGGTTCCAAGTCATCAGTCCAGTATTTGAGTCACTCAAAAATCAACCTTTCACCTGCCTCCAGCCTCATCCCCAGCCCCATGGCCAAGCCCCGGATTCCAAGCCTGCCATAGCAGAGGGGCAGTGTGTGGAGAGTCACGCAGGCCAAAGTTCCAATTCTAGCTTTGCCATTTCTCAGTGCCTGAGCCTGGGGCGTTTCCTTCTCCGCTCCAATTTCCCCAGTCCTCAGGGGTTGCTGTCAGCATCAAAGAGGGAACCTTCGGGAAAGCACTGGGCAACTTGTCTATCTACACACATTCAATCAGGAGAATTTTGCTCCCTTCCCTACTGGCTTCTACGTTCCCCACGTTAGAGATGGTTTACCTCTTCCATCTCAGGGGACCCGGCCCAGGGAAGCTGCTCGTGAGGGTTTGTGGACTAAGCACATTTCTGTTAGGGTGGGAGAGCAGAGCCACTCTGTCTTCTCAATCAACAGACTTTGGTCACCTCTTATGTGTCAGCCACTGTTTTTTGTTCTTTTTTTTTTT